CACACACACACACACACACACACACACACACACACACACACTCAGGAGCATCACGCCCCACCACCGTATTTCCTGACCAGCTTAAGTTTTATTGGTATCTGCTTCACATATCATAGGATTCCTGGTTGCACAGTGGTTATACATCGGGCTGCTAACCACAAAATCAGCAGTTCGAAGCCAGCAGCCACTCTGTGGGTGAAAGATGAGGCTTTCTGCTCACATAAAGAGTTGGAGTCTCAGAAAGGCACAGAGGCAGGTGCCGTAAGCTTGAAGGCAGTGAGTCTGGATTTGGTTTTCACATACCACACAATGTTATCATTCAACCATATTCAGAAAATGTGTGCGATTGTCACCCAATTTCAGAATTTATTGTGGGTCCCCACATCCCCGCATCTGCCCAGACATGTCCCTAGGCAGTTACCAACCCAGTTACTGCCTCTATAGACCTTGTACCCTGGCTTTTATGCACAGAAAATCATATGAAACACAAACAGGAAACAAGCAAACAAGCAAAGAACTTCAACAACAACGACTAAATGAAATACAGAAAACCCTCCACTGCAAAGAAAATATTAAAAACGGAAACAACTTTAAAATGGGTCAAAGGGGCAATCAAATGAGATGGTATTACATTTTCACCTAGCTACATCTGCCATCGTGGACTTTGCAATGCTCTCTGCCTGACAGGAAGGCTGTTGACATCCCTTGACTGGTCAGAGGCGTCACTCATGCATGAATACTGCAAACGGATTTGGGGCTTCCACTCTCGTCCACCACGTTTTGTAAACTAGGCGTTCACAATATGAGCTCTGATACTGTTCCCTGCGTTAGGGATGGATTTTATTACTCACAGTCCTTGGATCACACAGGCTGATGTGCACTTACTTGATACCTATGTTAGTCTGGGTAGACTAGAGAAACAAATCCATAGACACACATATGTATGTGCATATATATATGTATGTATATGTGTATACATACACACACACATATATATAGCAATTATACATTAAGAAAACATCCCCCGCCCCCCAAAAAAAGAAAAAGGAAACATCCCAATCCAGTCCAGTCCAAGGTCATAAGTCCAATATTAGCCCATATGTCCGACAGCAGTCTATAAAGTCCTCTTCAGACTCACAAAACACATGCAATGATGCCGAACGTAGAAGATCACAGGCCAGTGGGTGGAAAGTCTTTGGTGGTAGAAGCATCTCAGTGCTGGCAGGGGTCTCTGCGTGGCCATTCCAGTTCCCAGGGCTGCATCAGGGTAGATCCATGTGTTATCTCCTCAGGGATGCCTCGCAGGAAGTCAGCCTTGTCAGTAGAGAGTCTCTAAAGGAGTGATTCAAGAGAGAAATAGTGTCTCCTACTTCCAAGAAGGAAGTACCAGATTTCCCAGAATTCTCAGGGGAAGGCCATGCCCACACAGAAGTCTCATTGGCTATCTCCAGACTGACAGCCTAGACTCTACCCCTACACTCTTAATCCTTAAATTGACACCAGATTAGGTGACCACCACAATGTCTCACTTGGAGGCTGTTTGAAGACAGATCAACTATGTTTTTTAAACCAGCCCTGACTTGTAGTAACAACAGAACAAATGTTTTCTGGTCCTGCACCATATTCATTGTCTTAGGCTGGGTTCTCCAGGGAAGCAAAACCAGTAAAGCTAAAATAAGCATATATATATATATATATATCTGCATATATATAAACCCATGTGTGTGTGTATATATATATATATATATATATATATATATCTGCATATGTATAAATCCATGCCAAGGAAATGACTCACACAGTTGTAGAAGCAGACAAGTCCAAGTCTGTGGGTCAGAGTAGCTTGGACATTCCTCCTGACTGGAGTAGCTGAGGGGACGAATGACACCAGACCAGGCTCATGGCAATGAATGGCAAATAAATCTAGGATGAGCAGGCCAGGTGGCAGGCTGCTGATGACTCTCGGGGTCCGGAGACAATATGGCAGACCCTTGGTTCAAGTCTGAAGAATCAGAGGTTGATGAACCAGATGTATAATCCAAACTGAGCAAGAATCAAGTAAACTTCCCCACGGTGTCCACTTAGGAGGGTGCAGGCCACCCCCCACAGAAACATCCTGTCAATTCATCAGCTCAGGGCTGCTCTCTGCAGGTGTTCATTCCCACACTCATCTTCATATAACTGATTGGCTGCTCATAGCAGATTCCATGATGCAAGTGATCACACTGTGTTAGATCACATCGTGGCAGATTACTAGGTCTTCACTATCAAACCACGTAGAACAATGGCCTAGACAAGGTGACACAAAGCCTATCACACTCAAAATCATCGCTCTCTTACTTCTCAAATAGGGTGGATTTCCCTGATTCCCTGCCCAGTGTGATGTTCTCCTCCAGGGGTAGCCAGATGGTGAGAAGCAGCAGCAGCAGAGCCAGGAGGTCGTCTGAGAGGACAAGGCAGGCCTCCCGGCCCCTGGAGCGAGAGAGGGGAGCACCTTCAGGCTGGAGGCTTGCTGGCAGAGTGGGGTGCTTCTGGGCACTTACTGGTGAAGCTAAAGAGCCATGTTACACTTGCCTGGGCTGAGAAAAGACTGACCTGACTGAAGAATTGTATCCTAATTTGTTCCAGATCCTGAACTGTAACAGGTTGTTTCTGTCATAATTGTGAGTATTGTCTGAGATTGTGTGGCCATTGGCATGGCTTTTTAAGCCCAGCAGAGCCAAGGAGAGTGCTGGTGTCAGAATCGGTGACAAAGTTGGCCTGGTGAGGCCTCACAGGAATCAGCCAAAAGCTGATACTGAGAAGACTCTCTCCCTTCCACCACCCTATTCTTACAAGGGCAGACCCCTCATCCGGGTCGGGCCTATCACCTCCCAGGCTGAAAACAGGCCAAAAGGTCTATGGCAACGACCCCACCAGCCTGGTACAGAGAGATCAACCTCAGGGTGGGGGCACAGGGAGACCTTACACTAGGGTGCAGGTGACACGGTCTGGTTCAGCACCCTTCATGGGCCCCAACTCTGCTCTTCCCCAAACAGCAGGTGACGTGCTCTCACCTTGCTATGTCTGCATCCTTGGCTCCACGCCAGCTCAGAGCACCTGGTACCATGCTGACTCCCTGTGGCTTTGGTCCATGAGGTCAAGGAATGTCCAGGAGCTTCTGTGGCTGGCGGAACCAGGCAGG